CAGACATGATGCTCTGTGGCTTGATGGAGAGGGGGAGGGGCATCCCTTAAAGTGCTGGTGGCTTTTTCGAAACTTTGCTGCCCGAGGGGAACCCCACATTTGGACTCTTCTCTGGCAATTGCAGAGAACCTTTCAGTCAATTATTATTATTATTATTATTATTATTATTATTATTATTATTATTATTATTATTATTATCATCATCACCATCGGTGGGTGGTGAAAAGACTAGTGGTGGCGTGAGGCTGGCTGCACTGCACCATCAGGCCACAGAATAAGTTGTGGATTTTGTTTTGTGTGAGTGAATAACCAAGTGGGATGGCCTTATGCCTTTGTTTCCAGCTGATAAATAGCCCTTGAATTCTTCTTTAGAGAAGCAAAGTCTTTGCCACAGTGCCTGGCACGAAATAGTAATACTGCTTAATGTCTACATAGTGCTTCTGAGTATACCAAATGCTTTGTGTTGCACTTTCGTTAATTTAGTTCAGAGATCTTTAAACTTGGCAGCTTTAAGACTTGTGGACTTCAAGTCCCAGAATTCTCTAGCCAGCTATGCTGGCTGGAGAATTCTGGGAGTTGAAGTCCACAAGTCTTAAAGCTGCCAAGTTTGAAGACCTCTGATTTAGTTGTTAGATTTACTGCCTTGATATTTCTCAAGGAGCTCAAATGGTGTTTCTCTAGATTTAGCTTTTCCTGTTTCATTCTGACCACAACCTTGGAGGTAGATTGGGCTGAGAGATAGCAATTAGCCCAAAGAAGTCTGTGACTTTCTGTCATTATATATGAACCTGTCCCCCAAATTCTAATTCCCTGACCACAGCCCCACACTGTTTTTAGTAATGAAGGGATGCAGTGGGATGAAGAGCTACCAGAATACAGGTAGTCCCCAATTTACAACCATACGCTTAGTGACCATTGACACAATGGCACTGAAAAAAGTGACATGGCCATTTTTCACACTTATGAATATTACTACATCCCAGGGGTGAAATGTTCCCGGTTCGGACTGGATCGCCCGATCCGGTAGCAATGGCGGCGGGTGGTTCGGAGAACCGGTAGCAAAAATCCCCCCCCCATGGTCAACTGAGTCACATGATCATCAGAGGCTTTTTTTTTTTACTTTTTACTTTTAAACGCATTTTTTCTACAACCTCTTCCGACGAAAAAATGTTTTTAAAAGTAAAAAAAAAAGCCTCTGATGATCGCGCGGCTCAGCTGGGATCCTCAGAGGCTTTTCAAAGCATTTTTTTCTGCAACCTCTTGGCCGAAGAGGTGGTAAAAAAAATGCTTTGAAAAGTCTCTGACGATCCCAGCTGAGTTGCCTGATCGGCAGAGAGGCTTTTCAAAGCATTTTTTAAAAAGCCTCTCTGACGATCCCAGCTGAGTTGCCTGATCGCCAGAGGCTTTTCAAAGCATTAGAAAAAATGCTTTGAAAAGTAAACAAAAAAAAAAAAGTTGGCCACGCCCACCCAATCACATTACCACCACCACCACTAAGCCATGCCCACGGAACCGGTAGTAAACATTTTACATTTCACCCCTGCTACATCCCCATGGTCACGTGACCAAAATCCAGATGCTCGGCAGCTGATAAAGGTTGCAATGTCCCAAGGTCATTTTATCACTTTTTGCAACCTTCTGACAAGCAAAGTCAATGGGGACTCACTCAACAACTGTGTTACTAACTTAACAACTGCAGTGATTCACTTATCAACTGTAGCAAAGAAGGTCGTAAAATGAGTAAAAATTCACTTAATGACTTTCTTGCTTAGCAACATAAATTTTGGGCTCAATTGTGCTCATAAGTCAAGGACTACCGGTATTGACTTGTGCTTTGGCAATCTACAGATTGTGTGGAAGATGCTTCACTTAATTTGGGTTTTTCAAATTATAACTCACATGCCATTATATTTGTATAAAGAAAAATACTTCTTGGTATCTAATAGCTGTTGTGCATACTAAACTATGTGTATAGAAACCAAAACTTCTTTCAGACTTAAGAGTTTATTAGCCAGAGATCCTATGCTGGTTTGTTCTATTCCACAAAGGCTTGCTTAGGGCACAGTAAGTTGCTTTTCTACATAACAGTTGCAGAACTAACTTGAACTTAAGATCCTGCTTTTTAAGCAACCTTGTTTATTACTTCAGTCGTTAAGCACACAATTAACATTCCACACACCCCTCGGCCTCACTGTCATTCCACATTTTTCAATTGCTTCTACATTCCTGATTGCGTCCAACTAGCTAAAATTTTCAAGTTATGACAAACTCCAAGCCTGCACAATTATACATTTCAACTTCTTAATTTCTAGCAGCATCACCAATGTAGAAGTAAAGCAGTATATGCAAAACAAAGAACAAAATAAAGCAAAAACAAAAAGTTCACAACACCTTTGTCTAGGCAAAGGCACCATTTCACCACAGAAATGAATAACATATATTTAAAGTAGAAATAATAAAATGATTCCCTGTAATGAGATGCCGATACCGGGCATATGTGGAAAAGATGCCTTAATGGATAGCACTAGGCCAGTCTGAGCCTGATGTTCCCATACTGGTTATCCTCAATTTACAACCACAATTGAGGCTGGAATTTATGTCATAAATCATTGCAGTTGTAAGTTGAGTCGGACCTGATTTTACAACAATTTTTACAGTGGCCATTAAACAAATCACACAATTGTTAAGCAAATTGTGTGATTTGTTGAATGAATCAAGCTTCCCCAATGAGTGTTTTTTGCTGGAGATTGGCAAGAAAGGTTGCAAATCAGATGGTTCAGTTGCAGGACACAAAAACCAGCTGTAAATGCGAGCCAGTTGTTAAGTGTTCAAATTGCAATCCCATGACTATGAGGGTGGTGCAATGGTTGTAAGTGCAAGTAAGTCACATTTTTTGAGGCGGTCATAACTTTGAACCATTAAGCAAATGGTTGTAAATTAAGGGCTACCTGTACTGAGTCCTAATCTCATTGCCACCCCTTACTCACCAGCGGTGGGTTTCCAATATTCTTACCACGGGTTTGCCGCATGCACGTACGCTCGCTTCGTATGTGTGTGCGCCTTCTGGGCACATGCCTGGCCTTCCTCGCATGCTCTTTGCTCGCTCGCTTGATCGCCTTACGCGCATGCTCCCGGCCTCAAAAATGTGCCTAAATAGGATGGCATAGAGCCGGGGCGGGGCCTCCCGCCCACCCTTAATCTCCGCTACCGGTTTGCCCGAACCAATATGAACCGGCTGAATACCACCTCTGTTACTCACCCTATTCCATCCCTGTCTGGGTATCTTGCTCTTCTTCCCTTTAGGAAGGACAGAACAGAGAAGCAAAGAGAGAGAGAAACAGGGTGAAAGAGTATCTCCATAAGAAATTCCTTGCACGATAGCCTATTTATCTTTCTTCCCCCCCCAAGAGTCTCAGCATAGATGGGGGTTATAGAAGATTCCCACCCATCCCAAATATTATAGGAGTACAGGCTTGTTTAACCATAAAAAGGATAGTTTCCTACTCTGGATTTAGTGGGAGCCCTTTTGCTGGCCTTTAACAATGACCTCGTATAGGATTTCCTCAAGGAAAAGATGGGATGGGAGGTCTGATTTTGAAATGACCAGGTAGCAATGCTTGTATGCTCTGCATTTTGAAACCACACTTCCTTGCTCTTTGGCATGCAGCCATTCTCTTTATTTTGCTGCTCCCTGCAGCTTGATTGCAGTTTTGGCTTACGCAAAGTCACAGAAGGTGTTTTAAAACAGCAGGCTGGAATCTTCAGCACATGTTTTTTCCATGTGGACTATTCTTTAAAGAACCCCCCCCCCTCCCCAAACCTAGCAGGTGAATGCAGATGGGATGGAGTGGATTTATGAATGAAGACAAAGAAAAGTAACAAGGATGGAAAATGGATCTGTTCACTTGTATTGATGAACTGCTGTGGCTGGAAAGGGATGCATGTGGGAATCTGCCAAGCGCTGCTGCTCTTTTCCTGATTGCTTTGGCTTTTCACCTGCTTCAGATTCCGGTTAGATAAAATCAATTATAAAATATGTCCTTTGATGTAAATTGGATTCTAATTATTTTCTTCTTGAGAGGTTTTATAAAAACAAAAAGGCAAAGACACAACGTAATTAGCAATCATAACATTCCTGTTAACAGCAGCCTAATGGAAATGTGAAATAATAGATTTTGTCAGCCCTGCAAATAGTGTAAATGAATGCACCCATGAACCTTCACCTGTTGTTAGAGGAGAATCATTTTAGTTTATGGTAGCTAAAAAAATCAAGAGGAGTCTGTTAGCATATTTTTTTCTAACTAATAAATCATACTCAAACACATACATTTCCATTAGCTGCAGCTTGCTTTTTATGAAGGAAACTGCAGCTCACCAAAGAGCTTACACTTCTAATAAAATGTTAGTTGAAAAGGAGCTACTAGATTTCTACTTTTTAGGCTGTCCAAGCAGTGGTGGGTTGCTCCCGGTTCGCACCGGTTCACAAGAACCGGTAGTAAAAATTTGTAATAGTTTGGAGAACCGGTAATAACATTGGCTGGCCATGCCCCCGAACCGGTCCCCGACCCGGTCGCCGCTCGCTTACCCCACCCACCTCATCAAAGGCTTTTTTTTTTTTTAACTTTTAAAAGCATTTTTTCTACAACCTCTTCGGCTGAAAAATGCTTTTAAAAGTTAAAAAAAAAGCCTCTGATGATCCTGCAGCTCAGCTGGGAACGTCAGAGGCTTTGCAAAGCATTTTTTCTGCAACCTCTTCGGCTGAAGAGGTGGTAAAAAAAATGCTTTGCAAAGCCTCTGATGATCTCAGCTGAGTTGCCTGATCTGCAGAGGCTTTTCAAAGCATTGCTTTCTGCAACCTCTTCAGCTGAAGAGGTGGTAAAAAAAATGCTCTGAAAAGCCTCTGATGATCTCAGCTAAGTTGCCTGATCGTCAGAGGCTTCTAAAAGCATTTTTTTCTGCAACCTCTTAAGGAGCCTGGATAGCTCTGCAGACAAGGCACTGTAATTTAACACCAGCTGTCTGCAATTAAAGTAAGTTCGAATCTTGCCAGGCTCAAGGTTGACTCAGCCTTCCATCCTTTCTAAGGTAGATAAATTGAGGACCCAGTTTGTGGGGGCAATAAGCTGACTTTGTATAAAATATACAAAAGTATGAAGGCTATTGCTTAACGCACTGTAAGCCGCCCTGAGACTCCGGAGAAGGGCGGCATATAAATCAAATTAAAAAAAAAGTAAAAAAAAAAAGTTGGCCACGCCCACCCAGTCACATTACCCCCCCCCCCACCAAGCCATGCCCACAAAATAAGCCATGCCCACAGAACCGGTAGTAAAAAATTTTAGAACCTACCCCTGTGTCCAAGGCAAATGGGGAAGATTACTGACTGAAGAATAAGAGGTGTGGGAAACAAATCTGGACAAAAAGGAACAAAAAAGAAACTTTAAAAGTCCCTGCTCTAAAATTTGATTGCATTGTTGTCTTACCAAAGAATATTTCTCTTAATTCAATTATATGTTTGTCTCTTGGTTTTTGCCATTTTATATTTTGGTTTTTCTCCTTTACGATTTGGAAGGGAACTTAATTCTTCTCTAATGAGACCTGTCTCTACCAGTATTATCTTCGCTGACGTGCATGAAGAAGCAGCCATTGATGACAGGAGATATATTTTTTTCCCCCTAAACTTTGTTCCACTTGGCAAAGGTGCTGTCTTTATTACAAGCCCAATTTGGTATAGCGGTTAAGGTGCTGGCCTAGAAACCAGGAGATTGGTGACTTTGGGTCACTCTCTCTCAGCCAAATTAATCTACCTCAGGGGGGAAAAGATAATTGTGTTTGATGCCTTGAGTTACTTATAAAGTAATAAAGGAGGCATAAAAATCTAATAAATGAATAAAATAGAAAGAAAGAAAGCATTAAACCTTTTCTCTCAGTATTCAGGAGGCTCCCAATAAAGAATGATAATCTCTGACAAGTAAAGAAAAATTGAAATATAAGTTATTTCTAATATGATGGAGCTCTAGGAATGGTAAGATACGTCTAGGCTATACATGGTGGATGAATAAGTATCCATTCTTAATAACGTTATGAAAACCATTTGGATGTAGTAGTTAAGGTACCATGCTAAAGACCAAGACCCTGAATCTTGCCTTAGGCACAAAACAAGCTCATTCTCGTAGCCCTAGAAAGGAAGCAATGGCAAACCACTTCCAAAAACACTTTGCCAAGAAAACTGCAGGATAATTTTCATCAGTCCCAGAAACAAAGTAGAACAGAGCCGCCTACAGTCTAAGTCTCACCTAGGGACAATTTTAATCCTGAAATATTTGCTTCATAAAATCTCAAGTATACATAGAAGCACATAAAATCGTATGTTGTAAGTGAGCATTTGCAGTTTAAATACAATGATTGTGTACTGATAGAAACTAATGGATAATATGGTTGGCTTTGATCGATATACCTTTGTGGTTACATGGATATGATCAATAACTTTCATAAATTAGGAAATGTGTTGGCAACATGAGGGCCGTGTGTGGCTTCCAGCACTCCATTTGCAACCCCAAGAATCCCAAAATAGGCACTTCAAAAATGCAGTGGTGAGAGTAGGTTAATTTTTAGTAATATTCTGTGATCAAAACTCTAAAGCAGAGGTATTCAAACTTGGCAGCTTTAAGACTTGTGGACTTCAACTCCCAGAATTCTCCAGCCAGCTATGCTATGCTATGCTGGCTGGAGAATTCTGGGAATTGAAGTCCACAAGTCTAAAGCTGCCACGTTTGGGGACCCCTGCTCTAAAGTAAGGATAGGCAAGAAGATGAAGACCTTGGTGATGGAGAGCAGAAACCTCACCCATTCTTAACTTCCCTCAAATCCCCAGAACTGCAAAAGAACTCTTTTCTTTAGAAATAACATTTCCATGTTTTCGGAAGGCTTTGACTGAACTGCTGACTTGTTGAAATATTAAGCTTCAGTCTCTGACTTGGAAAAGGTTTCCTGCCTCTGCCTTAGGATAAAGGTATTCAATAATTATAATGTGATGACACTCAGCATGTTCCATTGGCTTCTTCATACATACAGCTTATAAATTGCTTTCCAGTTATGAAATTACCCACTTCTGCTGTGAAATTCTCTATCATAGAACTGACTGTGTGAGCTTTATAGGGCAAAGGATTTTCTTTCTTGCCGTTGAGTGAGTGATTTATGAAATTAGTTAATGAATTAGAGTTTCCTTTAAAGAGTCTTCATCATTTTGGTCTACTGAGAATCTTCTGTTAAGAGCCCCCAAGGCTCCCTATGAGCAGGATTTAACATTAAATGAATATATTTCAATATGTGCTTTAGCTGCCTTGACTTGGAAAGTTTGTTATCCAAATATGCCGTGCCTTAAAGACAAGCCTGGAAAGAAATATTAAATAAAAAATGACATAATGCCGAAGAGGCCAAAACACATCACTGTTTCCATTTAGGAAAAGAGTAGGCACAATATTGCTAATGGAATTAAGTGGTTGCCTTTCTCTTTTGCTCTCTATTTATTTATTTGGTTTTTGCAGGTAGCCATGGAGGTAGTGTTCTTCTCCCACAAAACATCAATGAATTCCCGGAATACGGGTCTGTAGAAGCCCAGACCCTGGAGAAATCATCTGAGATTTATGGGGAAGACATAACAAGTACTTTGGATGGACATCTGAGTGATCAGATGCTCTGCGAACCTTATGAAAATGGCAGTTCTGGTGATGGAATGGAAACGGCTTCTGAAACATTGCAAAGCCTGTCCAAAGAGGAAGAACAGTCCCAGCTTCTTGACAAACAGAGTGAGGTTTCTCAAGATTTAGAATCAGAAAAGGCCAAGGATGAAGGCAGTGAAGTTCCTGGTTCAGAGATGCAAATGGAAAGTGAGAGAAGGACTGGGACAGCAGTTGAAGAGGCAGACAGGGAGAAGGTTCTTGCAGGCCAGGAAAAGCCTTCAGAAATGCCTCTTCCATCTGAGATAATGACAGAGAGGAAATTGTACTGGATCACAGAGGAAGACTCTATGATCTTAACCATGGAAGTTCAGCCTGCAACCTTGCCAACTTCTGGTGGTGGAACTGAGGAAGCCCAGAAAATATGTGAAAGGAGTAGTCACATGCTTTTGGCTGGTCCAAAGGATGAAAACCTGGGCATTGATGATGGTGTCAGAGATGCATGGGCAGAATTTGAGCGGGAGTTTGCCATGGGTGATACAGAGAAAGCAGAACTGTTCCCCGAGAGGAGGATATCAAAAGAGACAGCAACGAACAAACATGTGGAATTTCAAGGGGTGGAAATTCTTTGGATACAAAAAGCCGAGGAACACAAAGAAAAGGAGGACTCTGAAATAGAGAGTATAGAAAGGAGAACTTTCTCCAACTTGTCAAACCATCACACATCACACATTCCTTCCACAGGATTCATTGGCTTGCCCGATCGCCCTTGGAATGTATCTTGGAAAAACCTCAAATCACTGACAACCTCGACAAAAGGTGAAGAAGATGAAGTTTCTGGAACTAAAGAAAAGGATTGGGCTCAGGAAGGAAAGTCTGGGCCAGAGAAGGACAGGTAACAACAATTACTAGTATTAATGTTTAATGCAGGGGCAGCAGAGAACATATTGATGACATCGATTTTTTCAGTCCTTTAAGAATTTGATGATATGTGAGCCCATCATTGTTCTGGGGTGGGAAGGACAGAGGCATGGCTGTTTTAATATTTCAAATTTTGTAGTGCTGTTCCACACAAAATATGCAAAGTGGTGGAGCAAAGTACTATTTATAGCAACAGTACATAAACAACAGTAATCCGAAAATCACACCATACAAAGCTTTTTCACAACTGTAGATAGATCAGAAAGCACAGATTTAGTTTACCCTGGTTGGAAACCGGAGATACAGTTGTGTAAAACAAATGCAATGGTTGAGCCTCTAGCGATGGAGAGCATTGCACAATTTCTGTGGGGTACTGCCAGTAATTTTCAAGTGAAGAACTTTCCATAAGGTCACATGCTGTAGGTGAATTTAGTATTGAACCTTAGTATTTTGCTGGTCTGTTCCCAGTAGGGTTCTTAAAAGGATTGGGGAGTTGGCAGTTGCTCAACAGAGCAGCCTCTTAAACCAACCATTAGAGAATCAATATTTGTAGCTCTTTTGATTGGATGGATGAATATGTAGCACATCACCTTCATATTTAACCATCGCAGTAATTTTCAAATTATTTTGTGAAATTGCCTCTCCGATTCCTCCCTATTTAGCAAATCTTGTTTTTTTAAAAAAAACAAAATGTGTTTGCACCATGTGCTGATGTGTTAGGATGCTTTGTGCATTTAAAAACAAGTAGTGGTAGTCCTCAATTTACAACAATTCATTTAGTGACTGTTCTGAAAAAAGGGATTTATGACTGTTTTTCACTTATGACCATTGTAGGATCCCCACGGTCACACGATCAAAATTCAGATGCTTGGCAAGTGGTTCATATTTATGACGGTTGCAGTATTGCAGTGTCCTGGGATCATGTGATCAACTTTTGCGACCTTCTGACAATCTGGGGAATCCAGAGTGACTTAATAACCATGTTACTAACTTAACAAATGCAATGATTCACTTAACAACTGTGGCAAGAAAACCGTAAAAATGGGACAAACTCACTTAAATGTTTCACTTAGCAACATAAATTTTGAGTTCAATTGTGGTCGTAACTCAAGGACTACCTGTGCTGTAATTCCTTTCGCATGGTTTTTTTTTTTTCTGAACACTGGTTTTGCTTTGTTTTATTTTTAAATTAATAATTTGATCGACACATTTAAAGAACAGTAAATTGCTACATAAGAGAAAAAAGGAGGAGAGAAAGAGTGGTCGAAGTAAAAAAATTCAATAAATGAAGGATTTGCATTTATCATAAAGTTTAAATTAATTATTTAATAAAATGTATAAAACTAGGTTCATTATATCACTTTAACTAAAAAAATCTCTGTAGAATTCTAAACATTAATGTTAACATTAATATCACCATCATTTGTTAATTTTTCCAAAATACTGTAAATGCATATAATCATGTAAAAAAAGGAAAAGGAAAAAAATAAAATAATTTTAACAAGGAGAAAGTTCAGTACACTACAATACAATACTGTTTCAAATTCTCTCCCAATGTATCCAATTAACAATTGGGTCATCATGTTGAAATTGCTTTTAACAACTGTTTTTATGTCAATTATTTCCCCCTCAAAAATCATACTCTGTGAGTTTATCTTGTTGACTGACATCCAGAGAGCCATTTTTGCTTAAATTTAGACAAACTTCTGTTTTGTGCTTTTGCTTTGAAAATCCTTGGATTCTTCTATCGCAGCAGCAGTAAAGCTTGAATGAACAGCAACAAATTTTGATCCAATGCCAGCCACTGGACACTGTTTGAAATGCTAAATAGAACTGCCGTTGCTCCTTTTTAATTATTTTGGCTGTTCTGGCTGTTTGGCACAAGTCAAAATGTTCAGTCGTGGGATTACTGTCAGCAGATTGGGAAATTGAGAAGTCAAGGAAGAAACGAAAATGATGATCATCCATGAATTTGTGAGCAGGGGTTCTCATGCAGATTTTTGAGACAACTCAGAGAATTTATGTGCTGAAGCATGTCCATATTAGAAGCATTTTAGTTTAATTTTGGCCAAATTGGTGCTCTTTCAATATATCAGACAACAACTTCCATTTTCCCAACCAGTATAGCTGGCAATATTGGCTGGGAATCTTAAATAATCATTATCTAGCAGATCAGGCAAAATCCCAGCTGACACAAGTCTTGATTTGGATGCTAGCTTGATACTTGCTGGTATCTTAGCATTGCTTGAGCACTCCCTGGAGTTGTTTGTTTATTTGTTTACTTATTTATTTATCCTTTGTTGTTTTTATAAATAACTCAAGACAGTGAACACATACAAGGAAGTACACCTTCCTCCTCCTATTTTCTCCACAACAACAATCCTGTGAGGTGATTTGGACACAGAGAGAGAGAATGGCCCAAAGTCTCCCAGCCAGGCTTTGAGGCCTAAGGCAGGAGTAGAACTCACAGTCTCCTGGCTTGTAGCGTGGTGCTTTAACCACTAGACTAGACCAAATTGTGTCAGGAAAATCCTGCATGCTTACTGAATGTAAGTTATAAAGGAGCCTTGGTGGCGCAGCGGACTAAAGTGCTGTTAAGTAGCACTTAGCTGCCAGCTGCCTGCAATTACTGCAAGTTCAAATCTCACCAGGCTCAAGGTTGACTCAGCCTTCCATCCTTCCGAGGTAGGTAAAATGAGGACCCAGATTGTGGGGGCAATAAGCTGACTTTGTATAAAAAAGAACACCGCTTAGGGGGAGCCGAAAGCCCTACTAAGCAGGTATATACAAAAGTATGAAGGCTATTGCTTAACGCATTGTAAGCCACCCTGAGTTTCCGGAGAAGGGCGGCATATAAATCGAACCAATAAATAAATAAATACATACATACATACATACATACATACATACATACATACATACATACATAGGCATCTAAATAGGCAACCCTATCTCCTATTAAAGGCTTTACATACAATAGGCAAAGTTTGTAGGTTCCAAGGATTACCAGTACTTTGCAAATCTCTCCTTCCACTTTTTCTCAAGTGATTTCCCCCAGCATCTGAATATAACAGCTTCTTTTTCTCAGCTTTTCTTCCTGTTCAGTTGCTTCTTCCTTAGAATTTTTCTGGTGCACATTTTGATTTGCCAAGCTCCACAGCTCCACAGCCTGCCATTTAGGGTGGTAGAGGATTTGAATTTTAAAAGATCTCTGCTTTTCCAACTTCCCAAGGTTATCCATAAGTGAATAGACAAAAACAAAAGAAAAAGAGACAGGCAAGTCCCTGGACACAGGCATGTGTGTTTGTATTTAGATTTAAATTTGCACTTGCCTCAGGGAGTTTAAGACAGGAAAATGGCTGTTTCTGACTTCCTCAAAGGATGCATATGTTGTATGTGAGTATTGTTTGTGAGGGAGAAAATTCTAAGGTTACTTCAAGAGAACTTCATGAACTTCAGCCCACATTCAGTGCCGCACAGATAGTCTTCAACATATGACAAGTCACTTAGTGGCCATTCAGAGATACAATATATCTCCCCAAATGTATTCTGACAGCTGCCCCCCCCCCCGTGATCACCTGATTTTATGATTTTGGGTGCTCTGCAACCAGTCCCCATTTACAGCAGTTTGCAGTGTCCCACAGTCATATGACCATGATTTACAACAGTTACTTCTGGTTTATGGCAAAAAAAGGTTCATTTAATGACCACCATATTCACTTAACAACTGCCACAAAAAAGTCCTAAAATCACATGATAATCCGCTTAATGACTGACATGGCTTAATGACCGTAATTCTGGGATCAATTACAGTCACAAGCCAAAGACTACGTGTAACCACTACATATCCACAGTATTCTGCATCATCTCAGCCAATTTGGGATGCATTTGGAATGTTAGAAACATATTATGGGCTTTCTCCTAAAATGATTGCTGGATGGAAAGGCTGGTCCGTTCACAAAAGGGCTGTCATGGGGGAGATAACAAATTGCAAAGCACTGACTTCCCAGAATATTACAAGGGGTGGGATTGAAAAATTTCAGCAACTGGTTCGCTGCCTGGTTGCTGGGTGGGTGTGGCCATGGGGGCGTGACCTACTCAGCCTCCTGGACCACAGCGGGGGGGGGGATATTTTTGCCCTCCACAGGTTCTGGAGGCATTTCTCGAGCCTCCAGGAGGGCGAAAACAGCCTCCCCCGGCACTGGAGGTCCTCTGGAGGCCGGAAATGGGCCTGTTTTCGGACTTCCAGTATTTCCGTTAGGCCCGTTTTTCGCCCTCCCCAGGCTCCAGAGGGTTTTCTCAAGCCTCCGGGAGGGCGAAAATGAGCCCATTTCTGGACTTCCGGTAGGCCCGTTTTTCGCCCTCCCAGAGCCTCTGTGCGCACCCTGCACTTACCTGGCATCCAAAACGGGCCTCATGGAGACTCCTGGGAGGGACGGGGTGGGTGGGGTCAGCCAGTCCTTGGAACAACCAGTTTGGCAAACCAGATTAAAATTAACAATCCGGTTCACTCGAACCGGTCTGAACTGCCTGAACCCCTGCTTACAACCTATTTTTTGTCTCTTCCACACAGGATGCTCTCTGCTCTTCATACTTTATGTTTGGTTTAAGTGCACTTCCAAACCCATTTTGGGGACTTCAAAGTTTTATAAATGAAGATGATGCTGGAAGCATTGTGGCAGCCTCACAGTTTGCAATTTTTGAAAAAAAGAATTTTTTAAGACATGTAAAAAGACAACTGGATAGGTAACAAAGTAGACGTTTATAGTCACTTAGAATATGGCTTTTTCTCCATTTGGCTTTAATTTCAGAATTAGGCAAGCTATAGTCCCAATAGTTTTTTCCTCCTACAATTCCCACAGTTCTTTTCTTTGTCTACCCTGTTTCCCCCAAAGTAAGACATCCCCTGATAATAAGCCCAATTGGGCTTTTGAGTGCATGGCAATAAGGCCAAGCGCTTATTTCAGGGTTCAAAAAAAATATAAGACAGGGTATTATTTTTGGGGAAACACGGTATGCTTATGGTACCCAGATCTGATGGAAATTGGTTTAGAGAGCTGAATAATATCAAGGTGCTTGTAGAAACACAAAAAACATTATTCTGGAATTAGGAAGATAAATCTCCATTATATCCTTAGCCCACGTGCATATTAAGGGGTTCTCTTAATGAAATGTTTCCACTTTTTACTCAGCTCAAGCTCTCTTCTTTCCTAAGATAAACTGTTTTGCTGTTCTTACAAGCAGATAGGGTCAGTTTATTCTTACACTATGAATGATTTATTAGTATGTTCTTTAATCACAGTTTGCATAAATAGGTTTTAATTTACATGGTAAGTAAACACTTAATGGTATAAACAAAATGTAGAAATGAGTAATGTGATAAATTTAATTGTAAACACAACAGCAGGAGTCTTGACTGTAACGTACCTTAGTTAAATTGTTCTAATAAATAGCCTTCTGGATGTCATAGCAACTGCTTTATCAGTGCTATGACTAAGCATGGGTTGGCCTTTCTTTACAAAATGAGGGACGTGGATTATACTGCTTACCATCATGGAATATCTCATGAGAATAATTTTTATTTGATCTAATAATTAAAGTGGATGAAAGGATTTTCCAAGTAACTTAACCCAATAAACACTTATAGTTGATGTAAGGAAAATAATTTGATATACATATAAAATAGCGCAGTGATTTATTTAACATAACTGTCAGGCACAGGAAGTTGGGAGCCAGAGTTAGGTTCAAAATGAATACAAGTTTATTTCATGCTGTCTCTAAACAAGAACCTGAACTACTAACAGTCAAGGTAAATACATATTATGTCAGGGCATTTTTGAATAAACCATAAGAAGTCAAGCTAAACCTGTTAGTTTTAGCTTCACGTGTGAATCAGGCCAATGATTAAGCTTCGGTTAAGAGATTAGAGGAAAAAGAAAGGTATTTCCAGTGGTCTTAGTTGTGATGCAATTTAATATTGGCACTTGTGATGCTTTTATTTAAAACATCTAAGATCCTCTGGAATACCATTAGTTAACTAGTTTTGAATCCTATTTAAAAGGAAACCCTGTTTTCAATTAAGTACTATAAATAACTGAACAGTCCAGGCCCAATTTAAGATTTAGGCCAATCACCAGAATGGAGGAATGAAAGAATGAGGGCACATTCTGTTTTCAAAGTCCTCTCTTTGATTTTTTAAAGAAAGATTAAGAAATTGAAAGTGTTATGTCATGGTGCAGGGGCTTAATACTTTTAGAGATTTTTAAGATTCCACAATCTGTACCTTATGATCTCTGAGGCAAATTGCAGCTTGGGGAAGACGTGTGGAAGGATTAAAAGATGTTAACTTTAAATTTCCACACATTCTCATTCCTTGGCTTGGTTGCTGATCGTGCTAATTTAGAAAGGACCAAATAGTTTGGTTTGCCAAGATTTAGGTCTTCCTCAAACAGGATAAGAGTTCTTCTCTGTGATGTCCATTGCACAGTTTCAAGATCAAACTATTCAGAAGCAGAGCAGATGCTCCAATTCCTGATTTTTTAAAATTAGTTTATAATATAAAATACAAAAATACAAAAGAAAATAGGGGAGGGAGAAGGGAAAGGAAAAAGGTAGAGAAAGGGGAAAAAAGAAAGAAAAGGTGTTGATTTCAAGGCAAATTGACCCTTTGGTGCAGTAAAATAAGATAATAGCATCAAACCTCAGCTTTTTACTTTTTACATAATAGTATAAACTAGCCACAAACCTTCTAATTGATAAAACCCCAAATCTAAGTTTCATTTTCCCCCCACCTCAAGCACAAAGTCCAGAATCAGTTTCCAAGTACAAACAAAATTGTGTTCTTTTCTTTAATCAAAGCAGTCAATTTAGCCATCTCTGCTAACTCCATCAACTTTTGCAGCCATTCATCTGTCCTTCCATTTTTGTGCATAAAGTAATCTTGCTGCCATCAATATATACAGGTAGTCCTTGACTTATGACCACAACTGAACCCAAAATTTCTGTTTGTTAAGTGAGACATTTGTTAAGTGAGTATTCTCCCATTTTATGACATTTCCTGCCCAAGTTGTTAAGTGAATCACTGCAGTTAATAAGTAAGTAACCTGGTTGTTAAGTGAATCTGGTTTCCCTATTGACTTTGCTTGTCAGAAGGTTGCAAAAGAGGATCACATGACTCTGAGATAGCAATAGCAATAGCATTTACACTTATATACTGCTTCATAGTGCTTTACAGCCCTCTCTAAGCGGTTTACAGAGTCAGCATATTGCCCCTAACTGTTGTGGCCCGTCAGCGGGCCCTCATTTTACCGACCTCGGAAGGATGGAAGGCTGAGTCAACCTTAAGCCTGGTGAGATTCGATCTGCCAAATTGCTGGCAGCCGGTGATCAGCAGAAGTAGCCTGTAGTACTGCTCTCTAACCACTGAGCCACCGCGGCTCATTGAGATGCTGCAAGTATAAACCAGTAGGCAAAAATCTGAATTTTGATCACATGATCATGGGGATGCTGCAAAAGTAACTGTGAAAAATGGTCATAAATCACTTTTTTCAGTACCTCTGTAACTTCGAAAGGTCACTAAATGAACTGTTGCAACTCGAAGACTATCTATATAACATCAAAGTTCCAAATTATTTCCCCAAGTCTTTTTCCATTAAACCCAAAAAGAAAAGTTTCTGGTTTCATCGTCATATTTAATTTGAGAATCTTTTGTATTAAGATGTGAACCCTACTCCAATATTTCTTTGCTTTGTTTCATGTCCACCATAAATGATAAAAGGTCCTGGAATAGTCCCAGTCTATTCAGAAGCAGAACAGGTCCTGTGTTAGTTTTTTAGTGCTCCGATTCTTGTTTCAGTCGTACCAAAGGAATGGCGTTGTGACAGGGCTTTGTGGAGCAAAGCAGCAAGTTTTGAAACCTTGCAGATATATGCATATGTGTATCTATAACATTAATAGTGATATGGGAAAAACTATTCAGCTCAGAAGCACCATTATGCTTTCTTGAGTCCTTTTGAGCTTAAAACCTTGAGAATGCATTAATTGTAGAATATAAGAAAAAGAAGGAAAAAAGACTCTAACATTTATCTTCCAGGCCTCCAAATACCCATTCTCTCTCTAGTTCTAATCTTTCCTGTTGTTGCTTTTTTAAAAAAATAATAATTGCCTGAGCTATTGGAAGAAAGGATTTAGTAGCTCCAGAATCTCTGAAAAGTAATCTAAACTAAGAGACACACAATGCGCCTTTTTCACCCCGTTGAACACAATGAGCTGATGTTTCTTAGCACACATCATCCCATTGCAGGGACTTTTGTTTCTACTCCATCCTGGGTTTGAATGTGGGGGGGATGGAAAGTCACAGGGAGAAAGACAAAAGTGTCTGTTTTCCATCAAGACAATTGTAACCAGACATTAAACGCTGGTACATAACGATCAAAAGGAATGGCTGTTTGTATGTGTCTGCATGAAACCACTGATATGAGAAAATGTGAACATGCCCACATGTACGCTTATAAAGTAAACTAAAGCACTTTTTTTTTAAAACCAATTTTGATTCCTAGGCTAATGGAGGAGGAAGAAGGGCTCAGTGGGAGAATGGAAGATGTCCTTGGGCAACTCTCTGAAATCTCAACAGATGTGTACAGCTCCCAGTTTGAAAGCATTCTGGACAATGCATCTTTATATTACAGTGCCGAGTCACTAGAAACGTTATATTCTGAGCCTGACAGCTACTTCAGCTTTGAAATGCCACTCACTCCAATGATCCAGCAACGTATCAAAGAAGACGCTCAGTTTTTAGAAAGGACTCCCGGAGGGGTGATGAGAAAGGACTCTTGCAATGGAGTCGCCAATGGACTCGGAGACGTTAAAGAGTCAGACCTTGCTGCAGCTTGTCCTTCGGAAAGGTAACAAGAGAGGATTGTCTTCACAATATTTGTGGCTTTGGTTGCATCTCGCTGATGATAATGAATTGAACATCCTCCCTTCCTCCCCGTTCCGATGAATCTCTTTTTAGGGTTGCAACTTTTTAAAACACGAAGAGAATGTTTGCTACTGGGTCTGCCAGTTTTTGATTTTGCTGATTTTGTTCCCATTTGTGACCCTCCTGTTTGCAGTGTGAAATGGTGTTCACAAACCCTGTACAGAGTGCTTAATCTAAGGGCCAAATATGACACTTCAACTTGAGTGCTGTTCTTTGGGTATGTTACTGTTTCTAAAAAACAAAACAAAAACAGAATGGCAGTGGGGTGAAATAGAAAGGATTAACCTTTATGTGCCTTGATAATACTGATTTCACAAATTTGCAGTAACTTATCTTGTGTAATTCTTGGAGTGTGTAGTAGTTGTTGGTTTCCTGCTGTGAAATAGTATTGTGCTTTTACAATAATTTTTCCGCTGTATCTTGGTTTTGTTTGAGGAATTGGTATGCTTTTTTTGGGGGGGGGGAATTATTTATTTATTTATTTATTAGTCCAATTTATATGCCGCCCTTCTCCATAGACTCAGGGCAGCTTGCAATGCATTATAGCAATAGCCTGCATATTTTTTTGTATATACCTGCTTATTAGGGCTTTCGCCCCCCCCCCCAAGCGATGTTGTTCTATACAAAGTTGGCTTATTGCCCCCATAATCCGGGTCCTCAATTTACCTACCTTGAAAGGATGGAAGGCTGAGTCAACCTTGAGCCTGATGAGATTCGAACTTGCACTAATTGCAGGAAGCTGGCAGCTAAGTGCTAGCACTTAACAGCACTTTAGTCCACTGCACCACCGAGGCTCTTCATTTTGATTTCTATTGAGGATATGCAGCTGAAATGATATGGTCCTGTCATACTAGGTACCTAAAGAGTGTTGTGCAGGGTTGTCAAACTCACAGCCCACGGGCCGGATGTGTCACATGCTGGCCACGCCCACGCCTGGTTTAGCAAAGCGGAAAAAGTCCCGATACGTCACATGACGCCGCTGTGAGATCGTGAGTTTGACACCCCTGGTGTAGGGCTAGGAAGTGAATAACACTATATTGCCAGTAAATATATTTGAGTCAACCTTTGCAGCTTCCATATAACAATGATAAAAATGCTGAAAGGTTTGGATCACATAGCATACTAGAAGTGTATTTTAAGATCAAAATGTGCAACCTCTGCTCTCTAAGGTCACAGCAAATTCCCATAGGTGGGAAAGGTGCTGCAACACGTGATTATGCCAGCATGTGGCCAGCGGCAGGTTGGAAATTTATAGTATCATTGGGTTGGAGGGGATTATGGAGGCCTTCTAGTCCAACCTCCTGCCCAGTTCAGGTATCCTGATACCATCCTGTGTGCAGGTTTAAAAAAAAAACAAACTTCCAGGGATGGAGCTCTTATGATTTCAGGAAAGGGGCTATTCAGCTTTTTAATAGCTCTCATGGAAAATTCTTCTTATTTCAAATTTGAATTTATTAAGCTTTGGTTAATTGGTTCTTGTCCAGAGAATATACACCCCCCACCCCGTAATATCCCTTCATGTATTAGAAGACAGTTATCATGTCTCCCCTCAGTCTTCTTTTCTTTAGGCTGAATATACCAAGTTCCTTTGATCTCTTTTTGTATGTTTTAGCCTCAAAGCATCTTATCGTCCTTAACACTCTTTGCACTCTTTCCAATTTCTCAGTGTCTTTCTTGTATTGTGGTGATGTCAACCTCCTGAGGTAATCCAGACAGGAAGCACTCCCAGATGAACTAGTATTACTATATTTTAAGGTTACATTAACAGTATCTCACAAGTATGAAAGTACATCTCTCCCCCACTGCCTTTACTGCCCAAGCAACTAGGGAAGGTCCCTTGTCAAACATTTGCCCTGTCCACATTCCTTCTATGGCTAAGTTGCCTCTTATCTGATTGCTTCCTTGCTGAGGCCCTTCCTTGTTTCCCAAGGTCATTCTCACATACCATTAGAGTTTATCAATAAACACAGTGTGAAGTTTGATCAGTGCAGTGGAGAGCAGTACTATCACTTCCCATGATTTTGACATTGCAGGTGGTCCTCGATTTACTACAGTTCATTTAGTGATCACTCAAAGTTACAATAACACTGAAAAAAGTGACTTATGGCTGTTTTTCACACTTACGACCATTGCAGCTTCCCCATGGTCACGTTATCAAAATTCAGACACTTGGCAACTGGTTCCTATGTATGATGGTTGCAGTGTCCTGGTGTCACGTGATCAGCTTTTGCGACCTTCTGACAAACAAAGTTAAGGGGAAGACAGAATCCCTTAACAACCGTGTTACTAACTAAACAACTGCAGTGATTCACTTAACAACTGTGGCAAGAAAGGTCGTAAAATGGGGGAAAATTCACTTAATGACTATTTCACTTAGCAACAAAAATTTTGGGTTCAATTGTGGTTGTAAGTCAATGACTACTTGTATCTCTCTATTGATGAAGCGTAAACTGCATTAGCTTTCTTGGCAGATGTGGCACATTGCTAATTCATCTTTATCCTGTGATCTATCAATACTTCCAGATCCTTCTGCCAAGAATTATTGCTAAGCCAGGTATCACCTATTTTGTACTTGTGCATCTGGTTTGTCCTGCCAAAGTGTGGAACCTTGCATTTTTCACCACTGAACATGTTGTTGGATGGGATCCATTCAAGTCCTCTCTCTCTCCTCTCTCTCTCTCTTCTTTCTTCTCTCTCTCTCTCTCCCACCTTCTCTCTTCTCTCTTCTCTCTCTCTCTCCTCTCTTTTCTCTTCCCCCCCCCACACACAAAGCATATTTTTTCCAATGAAGCCTTTTGTTTGAAGGAATTAGAAAACAGAATTTGAATGTGTGCAGCTTCATCCCTTCCTTTCTCCTTTCCCACCTCTTCTAACGCTAACATTAAAGTTCTCTAAAAATAAAACCAGTCTTCCATTTCTCGTACATATTTTACATGGCAAAATGCAAATCATTTTCAATATAAACATCTTGGCAAGTATTCATAACTGATGTGTCAGCTATGGGTCCCTCCCAGCAAATTACCGGTGCTGTATATGAAACGAGGCACAGACTTGGGATTTTCTTTTTCACATTGACTTTAAGTTAGATGTCTGAAGAGGAGATATTGCTATGGTAAGAGACAACCTTCCTAAAAACCTATTCATTATATGAATAAACCTTAATCTTAGTTTAGGAAATCCCAAAATCTGCCTTGAATTATAAAGTTTGGAACTTTTAGAAAACGTTGGCTTTTATAATCTGACTTCCCTTCATTTCTTTCAACATTTATCATTCCTTTTCAGCCATGTTTACATCAAACTGATGTTGGCTGTGCCCAGAAGCTAAGCAAAGTTGAGCCTGATTGGTACTTGAATGAGAGACCATGAGGAATGTCAAGATTGTAGGCTGGGCTGGGAAAAAACAGCGGTAGATCACTTTTGTGCTGTTGGAAGAAAAGAGTATTATGATATGAATGTGGATGCCAGGCAGAAACTGAGTTTAACTCAAATCAGATTTAATGTGAGGAGGTTACAAAAGATGGTAGTTACCCAGTTGATTGTCAAAAACGAAGCAGTATTTGATGTAATTACGGCTGGATGAGAGAATTTAAGAAATCTCAGGGTTGTAAACTAGTCTGGCAATTTGGGAAAAAAAACTTTTTGGAATAAAGTATTGTAATGGCAATGTACTTTGGTATTCTTGCAAGAAAATACTGATGTGTCTGTGAAGTCATCAGCCAACTTCAACTCAAAGGAGACTAAACATTGCTAAGATGAAGCATGTACAGCTTCAGTCGCTCTGCAATATACTGCTTCAAAATACGAGACTTTTAAGAACAAATCTTAGGTCCTAAATAAAATATGAGCAAGAATCCAAAGTGTTTAACTCAAGCATGTTAAGTGTCAGCAATGGACCATTTCTGTAGTCCATTTCATGACAGATGGAAAGCCATGGCTGAACTAATCTCTAAGGAAAATGGCAAACAGATTTGGTTATAAACTGGATCATAAAGCTAAATATATCTTCTGCTTCTCCCATTTAATGTGAATGTGCTTTTCGGGTTGGCTGTGGTCGCTGTTTGGTAATGTGCTTTTGCTGAGATTTTGTTTTTAAAGTACACATAAACAAATCTGCTATTACAGTTTTTGTTTTGTTTTGGAAGGGTTTAGGATTTTGTGGTCTCTGGTTTTAGGAATAAACATCTATAGTAATAACAATTTTTTTTTTTGTTAAAAGCCTGCCGTTATGATAAGGCAGATTAGGGGTAGAAGAGGGATTTGAAAGATTCCTAATGTGAAATTATTTCATTTAGTGGGTAGGATCCCTAATGTTGAGGTCTGGATTTCAGGAGGATCAGGAGCTATGGATAGATCCCATGACTATAGTATACCTCCAAAGAGATGCTTTATGTTTTCTTGTGAGCAGCAAAACATTTGTCTACGTGTTATAATTGCCTCAGGCAAGAAATCTTTAAAATATCACCTGCAGACCAGAATATGTTTACAAAGGACATAAAGATTGCCACAGAATAAAAATAAAAATTAAGGAACATTTAAAAGACTTTTCTTTGAAATCTTAAATCAGCAGAGGCTGATTTAAATTTGGCTAGAAATTATCCATTTCTTCCCATGGTTTTCTTTCTCTGGACATGTATAATACAACTGCATTGCAGTTTTAAATTCAGAAACTTTTCAGACAGCCTCTCATACAGCTGATCCCATTTACAGATCGGAAAATAAAAGGGAAAAAAAGTTGGATTGTGTAACCATAGATGAATAATTCCTTGGACTAGCCTGCTTTGAGTCCAAGCAATGCTATCATGACAGCAAAATGTTAAATCTGGAAATGCATTATTTTGGAAATGCATTAAGCAGCCAACAGAGGTCCCCTAAGAGCTGTGAGTTCACTGTAGAATTCAGAGTAGAATCACTTGTGGTTTCCTG